CGGGGGGTCTCAGGGGGGGCTCGGGGGCCCCTCCCGCCCGTGGTGGGCGCCGCCCCCGCGGCTAAACCCGGCTCTAAGCTCGGCTTTGTCCGCCCTGATCCAATTTGCTCCGGGATATTTCGGGATCCGGCGCCCCCGGTGACCCCCCCGCCGCCCCCTCTCCTCCCCCCCCAGGGCCGGGGGGTCCCGGGAGGGCCCAGGGATGGATCCGGGGATGATCCCGGGCGGGACCCCCGGGGATGGATCCCGGTGGGATTCCCTGGGGTGGGACCCCAGCCCGGGTCCCGGGGCTGGATCCCGGGGCGATTCCCGGTTCGGGATCCCGGGGCAATTCCTGGGGCAATTCCCGGGATAAATCCCGGAGCGATTCCCGGTTCGGGATCTCAGCTCAGGATCTCGGGGCCAGTTCCCGGTTTGGGGTCCCGGTTTGGGGTCCCGCTGCGGTTCCTGGGGCACAATCCCAGCCCCGGATCCCGGGGCACGATCCCAGGGCGGTTCCCAGTTCGGGATCCCGGCTTCTGGGGCAGGATCCCAGTGCAGGGTTCCACTGTGGGACCCCGGGGCCGCTCCCGGTTTGGGACCCCGGGGCTGATCCCGGTTTAGGATCCCGGGGCCGTTCCCAGTTTAGGATCCCGGTTGGGGACCCCGGGGCCGCTCCCGGTTTAGGATCCCGGGGCCGTTCCCAGTTTAGGATCCCGGTTGGGGACCCCGGGGCCGCTCCCGGGGGTCCCGCCGCCCCCGGCCCCGCCCGTTCCCCCCGCTGGCTCCGCCCGGGGCAGCCCGAGCCGGGGGCGGGCGGCCGAGGGGAAGGGGAAGCGGCGGATGCTCCGTGCCGGTTCCGACCGGGACCGGCGGCTCCTACCGGCACCGGTACGAGGGTCCGGGGGGGAGCCTGGAGGGGTCCTGGGGGGTCCCGGGGCGGCGGGAGCCAGGGGCGGTGTCCCGGCACCGGGCGCGGCTGCGCGAGGCACCGGGCGGTGGCGGGACGGCACCGGGGGCTCCGGGACGGTACCGGGGGCTCCGGGACGGTACCGGGGACTCCGGGACGGCAGCGGGGGCTCCGGGACGGCAGTGGGGGCTCCGGGACGGCACCGGGACCGCTCCGCGGCGGCACCGGGGAGCTCTGGGACCGGGACGGCACCGGGGGAGCTCCGGTACCGGGACCGCTCCGGGACGGCACCGGGGAGGCTCCGGGCGTGCACCGGGGCGGGAGGGCTCCGGGACGGGACCGACACCAGTACCGGGACGGCTCCGGGACCCGGGGGGGCTCCCGGTCGGTGCCGCGGCCGCCGGGGCTCCCTCCCCCGCCACGCCGCCCCGGCCCTCGGTCCCGTCCGGAGCCCTCGGGGGTCCCGCACCGGGAGGAACGGGGCGGGGGGGGCCCTTACCGGGGGTCCCGTCCCGAAATTTGGGGAGAGGGGACACGGGACAGGGGGCCAGGGAGCCAGCGGTGACATCGCCCGGTGTCGCCACCCCTCCAGCACCCCAGGGCGCCCCGCCCAATTCCCCACGGGCTGTCTGTCACCTCCTGCCACCCAGTGTCACCTCCTGCCGCCCTGTGTCACCTCGTGCCACCCGCTGTCACCTCCTGCCACCCTGTGTCACCTCCTGCCGCCCGGTGTCACCTCAGGCGCCGCCCCTGCCTCGATTTCCCCCAGATGTGCGCCCAGATGTGCCCCCCCCACCCCCGTTCCCCCACTGCCCCTGGGCCGCGGGTGACGCCCCTGTGGAGGGACACAGGTGACAGCAGGTGTCACCTGGGTGACACCTCGGGGTGTCCATGGTGTGACAAACGGGGTGTGACACCGGCTGTCACCCCGGGGTGTCCCTGGTGGCACAGAGGTGACAACAGGGTGACCTTGCCATCCCCAGGAGCCATGTCCTGGTGGCACTGAGGCTCGGGTCACCCCGGGGTGTCCCTGGTGGCACAGAGGTGACAACAGGGTGACCTTGCCATCCCCAGGAGCCATGTCCTGGTGGAGCTGTCATCTCTGTGCCACCAGGGTCTCCTTGGTGGCTCAGAGGTGACAAACGGGTGACCTTGCCGTCCCCAGGAGCCATGTCCCGGCGGCGCTGAGCCTCGTCGTCGCCGCCGCCCCCCGTCACCACCATGGGGAGCATCTACAAGGAGTACTTCAACCGCGACAAGATCCGCGAGCACTACAACTTCACCAAGGGCGACGGCGAGGGCGCGGCGCCCTCGCGCTGGGTGGGCTCCGTCCTCATCGTGGTCCTGTGCTGCGTCATCGTCCTGGAGAACCTGCTGGTGCTGGTGTCCATCTGCCGCAACAAGCGCCTGCACCTGGCCATGTACATCTTCATCGGCAACCTGGCCGCCTCGGACCTGCTGGCCGGCACGGCCTTCATGGTCAACACGCTGCTGTCGGGCAGCACCACCTTCAGCCTGACGCCCGTGCAGTGGTTCGTGCGCGAGGGCACGGCCTTCGCCACGCTGGCGGCCTCGGTGTTCAGCCTGCTGGCCATCGCCATCGAGCGGCACGTGGCCATCACCAAGGTGAAGGTGTACAGCAGCGACAAGAACTGCCGCATGGTGCTGCTGATCGGCGCCTGCTGGGTGATCGCCGGCGCCATCGGCAGCCTGCCCATCATGGGCTGGAACTGCATCAGCGACCTGGGCGACTGCTCCACCGTGCTGCCGCTCTACTCCAAGCGCTACGTGCTCTTCGTCACCACCATCTTCACGCTCATCCTCATGGCCATCGTGGGGCTCTACACGCGCATTTACTGCATCGTGCGCTCCAGCCACGCCGAGATCGCCTCGGCGCAGACTCTGGCCTTGCTCAAGACCGTCACCATCGTGCTGGGCGCCTTCATCGTCTGCTGGCTGCCCGCCTTCATCATCCTCCTGATGGACGCCTCGTGCCCCGTGCGCGCCTGCCGGGTGCTCTACAGCGCCAATTACTTCTTCGCCTTCGCCACGCTCAACTCGGCGGCCAACCCGGTGATCTACATGCTGCGCAGCAAGGACATGCGCGGCGAGTTCCTGCGCGTGCTCTGCTGCCGCCGCCCGCAGCCCCCCGGCCGGGCGGGGGTCCCGCTGCGCACGTCCAGCTCGCTGGACAGGGGCCCGGCTGGCCCCGCGGCCGAGCTGCCCACGGCGCCGCTGACCCGCGAGTGCACCACCTCCGTGTGAGGGTCTGGGGGTGATGCTCGGGTGGTTGGGGGGGGGTTTTGTGGGCAAGGGGGGCCGGTGGGGGTCAGGGGACACGGTGTGCGTGGCCCGTGGACACCCCATGGACATCCTGTGGACACCCTATGGCCTCAAGACCACCCCGTGGATACTCCATGGATACCCCAA